TTTTTAGAATTTTTCACCACCTCTAGGTATTTATTTTAAATTTTCTCTGATTAGGCCTCTATCGGTAATTCTAAGGGAAAATAAATTTCCTAAAATTAATTTCTGAACTTCCAAGGCTTAAAACCAATTTTATAAATTTAAATAAATATTTAGATGATTTATAATCTCCCAAATTTATTGAGGCCTCTAACTAATTAAAATAATTATTTTTCTTTGATTTCCTAATAATTTTTTGAAAAACCTCCATTTACGGGAGATTCCGTAATAATTCATTTTTACCGAAATTCCACCTTTCGGGTCTCAAATAAGTTTCCAAGACCTCTCCTCTACAATTTTCTCATTTTTCAGGGATTTTCTGGAATTTTTCTCAAATTTTTCCATTTTGCCATTCCTAGACCGATGATTATCAAAATGTTAGTCTGGACCTTATCGGAGTTTCACGTCAAAACTTGTTTCGTCTCTCTGTATAGTTCCTACATTAACCCTCATCCCAATTTTTGATCTTTTATTGCCAGATGAAAATTTTTGGGATGTGACAAAATTAAAAAGTACAACTTTTACCAAATAAACAGTTTTCACGAATAAACTATACAAATTGACAAGGGTTGAGTCTAGTTTTATATTTTTTTTATGTAGGGAACTGAAAAATATTTAAATAGAATTTTGAACCACCTCAATACGGTTTTTTTATAATTAGTTATGATTTTTCAAAATTGGACTGAAAATCTGAAAGTTAACTAGTGAGCAGTACCCGAGTACTTGAATGCAAAATTTTTAATTCACGCGCTTGTTTTGTGATTCGCTTGACCTGTAACGCTTCCAGTTGCACACAAAAAGGGATTTAAGGAAGGATGTTTTAGTGTTCACTAAAAAGTCTAAAGGTGTCAGTAATCTAAATGCAAATATCAAATTGACCAAGTGTGATGTGAGAAATGTGATAATGCAAAACTAATCAATCAAGAAATAGACTAAGCTTTCTAATTTTTATAGTTTCTGGACTTAGTGAGTGAAATGAATGCAGTGATACGAGCTTCTTTCATGGCCACATCAACTAGCCATCCTAGTTTCATTTTTAGTTGAATTTCAATTTTTTATAAAGCTAGGTTTGTGAAGACCTTCTCCAAACAATGAATGCAATGAACTAGAACCTAATTCATCGAATTCATCTTATGCTTAATCTGAATTATGATTTGTAGGAGGTATTATCCACTCTTAATTAACAATGTTAACACCTTAACTGAATCAAGAGATTCAAATACGTGAATTAAATGAACCAATATCACAAAAGCTAATACCAATTCAATCAATCAATTAAAGTACAAAAACATAATTCAATCCTTAGTTTTAATGTAAATCAACCGAATTACAATCTTATTACAGCCACAAATCACAATCCTAAACCACAGAAATCATAATCTATGAATACAAAGAGCGGAAACTGAGAATAGATATGAAGAAACTCCCAAATCAGTCGTGGGAACTCCAGCCAGCATTTCTGGGACATAAAGAAATCACAATCTAGCCTCTCATGACTGGAATTACAACTCCAACAAGCTCATATACTCCAAAGGCCATAGCAACAACATCAAAGAAGTAATGAAGGAGAATAATTAGTGAAAAGTGAAAGAGATGGGATGGAAACGATGAATTGATGATGGACAATAATGGAGAAGTGAAGAGAGATGAAGAAGAGAGGATTTGGGTGGAGAAATCGAGAGAGAAATGAAAGAAATGGTGGATCTCCAAACTGGCGTGTGATTCTATTATTTAAATTAGATTTCGCGCTATCACCGCAGTGACACCTTATCTTGGCTACGGCGACGATCAAAATGACGATGTTTGAATAAGTTATTTGGCTCCTCTCAGAATGTGGCCTCGCTGCAGTAACGCACCCTAATGCCATAGTGACAAATCCAGAACAACGCTCTCTGGACTTTTTTCCACCTTTAACTACCTGTAATGCAAGGAAAATGAAATGCATAAGAGTCAAATAGAAAATAAAACATTTTTTTCCCTATAAAAAATGCATAAATTACACTTTTAGCCTTGATGCACAAATACCTCTTAGCCCAAAATAAACATTTATAAGCCACAAAAATATAAGCTTAGGACTAGAAGTGAATGTAAAATATGAGACTTATCACAGAATCATCACAATAAAATAGATCCTCAAAACTTTTAAAGTGAATTGGATTACATTAAACAAGTGCTATGATACAATAGGTACACTTCTTTTATACTACCTGATCCTAAATATAATAGCTAGTAGGAGATTCAATTTGGTTATAAATATAAAATCCCAATTCATATGTCTCTCATATTTATTAATTTTTTCCTCCAAAGTGGTCCTATAGTAATTGCACATGTTAAAGGGTTTTTATTCTAATACATATAAATGATAACGGTATTTTAGAGAAAACAACACTCACTTGTTGTTACAAATAATTAAACTTAACTAGTTTTTTTAATATCTGAAATTAGTTATCTAACTTTTATATTAAGGATGGGGTGTAGTATATGGCAAATTGCCCAAAACACTTCCTAACATTCCTAAATTTGGCAAAATCATTGCCTTCCCACAAACTATATTCAACATTCTAAATTACAGCCTACTTCCATATCACAAATGGTGCCAAAACCAAAATCACAAGACACAACATTTCCATTCTTAAGAATAACAACATATCATACCAGTCAAGTAAATTATAGATCCAATTAGCCTGTGAAATCCTTCCAGAATTAGAGTGAGAACCAAAAAAAAAAAAAGTCAAAACATAGAGATGGTTAAAAGCTTGAAGCCAAACAGAAAATCAGAGGGCCTTATATAAATATAACGCAGTGCATCTCTTGTTTTGATAAGAAGTTTCCGGAGCAATCCATCCTTAATTGCAGCAAACATATATTACTTGTCATATGTCATAACAGAAATGCGTGTTTTAAATAACTAACAATGATAAATCACAATAATCCAGTAGAACATCATCAACCAACTGAAGCCAAATTTCACAAAGTTCACCTCAATCAATCAAATCTCATGTTTCAGCCAAGAGCATGAAAAAAAAGGTATATCTCCATAATTCATGATAAAAAATATTGATGAGAAAGGAAGGAAAAAAATGAAGGGAGAATATCATTTGGGTATCCTGTAAGAGAACTATTAAACAGTTTGCTCTCAACTTACTAAAATTTGAAGCAGAGAAATGGCTTTCTTGCAGGGATAACAATATATTGAATTCTGCCAACTGCCGTTGGTGGGTGAAGCTTCTATTTGACCATCCACTTAGTGCAAAATATAGAGCCCCATCTTAGATCTTAAAATGTTTTAAGAAGCTGCGGTCATATCATATATATCATTACTAATATTACATACAAAATTTACCTAAACTGTATTATTCTCCAATGAAACACCCCCGAGACATAAAAATAAAATGAAATGTCATTCATTTCGACAATGTTGTTTGATAGTTCTATTGGATTCAAAAGCATTCTTTCCTTTTTTATCTTTATTTCCTTAAATTTTTTCATTTTTTAATTAATCAAGTGACTCTTATTAATGTTTTTATCTAGCTTAAATTAATATTACTCTATATTGAATTTTTGGAAAACTGTTGTAATTCTTCATGCTTTGTTTTTATGGTTGTCCAAATGATTTTTGTTATTTCATATTTTTCAGTATTATTTTGAGTAGTTTTATTTTCCCAAAGTGAATTATTGAGCCTAGAAGGAAAATAAATTAAAATTGAGTTGATTAAAGTGACTAATATCACAAGATCTGGAGAGATAAGCAAGGCGACAAAAAGAGGATAAAAAAAAAGAATCATATCATTTTATTAAGACTACTTCTATAATAAAATATTTTATCTCTAACAACATGCGAAGTTAGGAGGGGGAATGGAGGGGAGGGGAGTCCTCCCATCCTTAAAAATTTTTCCAACAAAACAAGGATATCCCAACTACCTTTCTTTCCCTTCCAAAATCTCGTACCAAATTCAGTGTTATAATTGTGTTTTGGAGATGTCAGTTTCCCGACCTATCAGAAAAGAGAACTGTTTTGGAGTTGGTTGTTTGGAACCAAAGATATAACTTCTCTCCTCTACCTTTCCTTCAATAAGTAATGACACACCCTTCACATTGCTCACGTTCGATCAAAGATATAACTTCTCTCCATCCACCATTCCTTCAATAATTAATGACAGACCCTTCACATTGCTCACGTTCAATCAAAGATATAACTTCTCTCCATCTACCTTTCCTTCAATAATTAATGACAGACCCTTCACATTGCTCACGTTCTATCTCTTTATATAACCTGTTCAACCACCACTCAATACATTTCAATTCACTCATCCACCTTGTTTCAACGGCTTCATACAATTTCACTCTTTCTCATTCAACTCTCTCTCACTCACACTACTTCCACAAATTCATCTAAGGAAGTCGATCGCATCAAAGAGTTCTTGTTTCACCACTTTAAAGGGCTCCCTCAACGACTATACTCTTGAGGTAATTATATTACGTCCACATAAACTTAGCTCACGTTGTTTTTATATATATGCATCATTTTTCCCGTTGATGTAGCTTTCTGCTGTGGCAGTCACAACAACAAAAAATGTAAATGTTGGCTAGTGTGGGATTAATTAATTTCAGATGCATAGACACAATACATTTTTTATCGCAGCAAGAAGCCAAATTTCGTCGTTGAATTCTAATCCATCTAAATGGTAGTGGATCAACGCTGACATAGTCTTACTTGAGCCTCATGGGTATCCATATCCATGCAGGTTAAGGAAAAAATGCAGCTCCATCCTGACCCATTTAGTGGATAAATAATTAATATTCGATTGATATGATAAATCACGGGCCACAGATCCAATCTTATCTGTATCTACTTTAGTGCTTCTAAGAAATCTTGACATATAATTATGCTGTCTCGCATAACCAGAATTCAAAGTTTTTTTCGGATGGATTTCATAAACAGTTTTGGTTGAGAAAGAATCTGGATGGAGATAACAACTGATAATGCTACATCCAGCAAGATAGAAGCCACCAAAATCACATCAGTTGAACCTGTTTCTGATCTCAACAAATATACAGTGATCACAATTACAGGCATGGAACCTCAGTTTCATAGAGATGCAGTGAAAGGTAATATCAATGACTTTGAATGGAAGGGTGAACAAATTGAGTCCATACTAACTCCAAATAAAAACACCATCCTTCATATACACTTCACAAATTGTACTAACGGTGTGTCAAAGACATTTGTGAAAAAGGTTTTAGATGTGTGTCCTGCACTTCTTTTAAAGACCAACGTGAAGGGTGATACCATACTTCATATGGCAGCAAGGTATGGACATCATAAAATAGTGAAAAATTTAATTGATTATGCTAAAAATCCCCATATCTATGAAGCTGGAGCCGAGAAAAGACTTATAAGAGCAATAAATGATAATAATGACACGGCCTTGCACGAAGCAGCTCGCTATGGTCACAACAAATTGGTGAATGTCTTGCTAAAGGAAGAACCGGATCACTCATATTTTGGTAAAAATGTTGATGATGAAACTCCACTTTATATTGCTGTTGAGAGACAACATTGGAAGGTGGTAGATGCAATATTGGCTGATAGTGATTCACCGCAATATAATGGCCCCAATGGCAGAACTGCTTTGCACGCCGCGGTCATTCATGGTGACGAAGGTATCTAATTTTATTGTATGGTTATCATTTACAATAATTAATCTGCATTTATATGTCTAATTTTCTAGGAATAAAACGATGACAGCAACAATTAACTGACATGCTTAAATTAACTTTTTTTTTCAAAAAAAAGATAAAATAACAACTCATATAAACTATTTGAAATAATTAACAGAATCGTTATGATCATTTTGATAAAATTATTATGATTACGGTTTAAATTAGCACTTCAAATTTTAGGGGTGTCCATGCTAGAAAGCAGCTATTTTTACATGAAAATGGATGTTGTTTAATGTGAGGTCATCTATGGTAGAATATGTGCAGAAGTTGTTGGAAGGAGACTCATCAGCAGCAAAACAAGCAGATGATAATGGTTGGGTTCCACTTCACTTGGCAGCACTTTGTGCAGAGTCAGATGTGGTAGAGGAGCTGGTAAGCAAAGATAGAAGCATGGCATACATGAGAGATAACGAGGGAAGGACGGCTCTTCACTTTGCAGCACTTCTTAAAAAGGCAGATGTGATGGAAAAGATAATAGAATATTGTCCAGATTGTTGTGAATTGGTGGATGAAAAGGGCTCAAATGCTCTTCACTACAGTGTGATGCTAGAAAGACATTCTGTATTTGGTCTAGAAATACAGTCCGTATCTGGACTAGAAGATACGATAGAAAATACACCACTAAGGAACTTGTGCAATGAGAAAGATGATGATGGGAACACACCACTTCACCTCCTTGCCCGTCAAGCTTCCACGGAAAACGATCATCCTCTTCTGAAAGCAGACCTCCCAAACTTGGACAAACTAGCATTCAATAAATACGGTCAAACTTCTTTTGATGTCGCATTTGATGTTGTGCCTTCAGATTCAGCTCTTGAGGTAACAAGAAATAACATCTAGCTTGTTACTAAAAATTTAAAAAACAAAACATTTATTTTGATATTCTGAGCATTTTCTTGCACGCCTCCACTTTTTCTAAATATGATGGTATGAACTGTTCATTGTGACTTAAAATAAGAGTAGTATACCTAAAGTAGAGATCGACAGAATAAAAGACAATTTGCTGTGCTGCGCGTTTAAATTATTGTGAACAAAATAATTTAGAATATTCATGCATTAATTTTGTTGGATCTAAATTTTCAACTATCACACTCCAATTAAAGAGAGCTTTTATAATCAAGCCTTAATACACACAAACCACACTTTTTCAAGCTTGGTAATCTAAGAGACCGAGCTATCCGGTTTCATATAGTGTTAGTTGAAGCTGTAACATTTTTCAGTATGTCTTTCACTAGTTTGATTTGGTTTAATCTATGTAATTTCATTGATCATACAGGTAATCAGTGAATGCAACTTATCTATTTAGCATTCATATATAGGCTGAACTAATTAAAGATAAATATAAAGATGAAAGACTTTTATGTGTTACGCGGTGCAGAACAAAATGTTAAGAGAATTGAGAGCTAGCGGAGCAAGGTTAGGAGGACGAGTTCTGGATAGGCATCTTAAAAAGAAGAAACAAGAGAAGAGAGTTGTTGGTGGTGAAAAGGAGAAACAATATAAGACTAATGGTCAAGATCGTTTGGCCGGAATGGCAACCACCCTCTCTGTAGTGGCAACTTTAATTGCAACAGTAACATTTACAGCAGGATTTACATTGCCTGGGGGATTGATTCAAGAAGGAGAACATCGGGGCTCTCCCATTTTAAAGTATAATGCAGCTTTCATGGTATTTGTTCTTACAGATTCTCTCTCATTTGTTCTCTCTATTTCTGTTGTTTTTTTCCTATTTTTCTCATCTGCTTTAGCAAAAGAAAAGGAGTTGTCTGAAGCCCTGCTGGATAAATGTAGATATTTAACCATGGGGGCAATGGTATTCATGATCATAGCGTTTGGGACAGGCATATATGCTGTCATGGGTGTTTCCAAAGGTTTTGGTATTATCACTCTCTTTATTGTTTTTTCCGTTGTCGTCATCATTGTTATAGTCTTTAGGATAGCCTTTAGGGGACTAAGAGAAAGATTTATGCAATGCCCTCATGGTGTGCAGCTTTCTTGTGTTCGCATAGAAACTGATGTTCAGCTGTCCCAGATTCTCTGAATTATTGTCAATGGAATTCTATTTATTAGCTTTACTTTATTTATTTCATGTGGTACATCTCTCCCTGGCCGGAGTGTTACAAGCATATGAATATGTAATACCTCTTATCTTTGAATAAGAACTAGATAATTAACTTATGAACATTAAAAAATTAGTTAAGTTAGTTATTTATAATAAATATGTGGGTTATAATTATATACTGATGAGAAGCATAATCAATATGAATATTTTGAAAAAATAATTATATTATAAACTTGGGAGACAAAATAAATTTAGGTACTATATTTATGATTAAAATAAACCTTCCACACACACGCACACATGCACGCGCACACACTCTCTCTCTCTTAAAGAGAGAGGAAACGTGTCTTAAAAAAATTTTACACGGCATCTCCCGTAAATTTTCAGTTTTTAAATTTAATTTATAGGCAAGTTCTGGGGATATATTATAAATTAAAGACAATTCTACGCTCACGCACTGCCTAAAGCATATTCAGGTTTACCCGCATATAGCATTTTCTATAAGTCTCAAGCTATCAATTAAAAACTCTCAAATCTCCTAATACTTGCTCATCTATTAAAAGGCGAATTGGAAACCACATGATGATACTATTTTTTTTTAAATATAAGAGCTACATAATTAATTTGCGGACACTATTACAGATTTTGTTATATATGCCACTTAACTTGAAGGTTATTGAGAAAAATGTAAAATAAAATGAAGTAGAAATGAGAAAAAGAAAACACTTATTTGATGGTTATTTATTAGAACCGTCAAATATTATATACATATATTTGATTGTTACATATAGAAGTGTAAAATATTTGTTATAAAATTTTTTTAAAACAACTATTTGGTGGTTGGATCTGATGACCGTAAAATAAATATCAATTTTTAGTTTATATTACTCTGTCTCTTATTATAAGATCTAATTTTTTGAATGAGTCTGTTCTTTTTTATAAGATCTTTTTTGAGTTTGTTTAAGCATTTAATGTATTATTAATTATTTTATCTCTAATTTAATGTATTTAATACATTATCGTTATTCACTTATCTCACATTACTCTCTGACATCTACCTATTTATATATGGGTATATTTGAAAAAAATTACATTTGCTGCATATTAATTGCTTTTAACTAATTTTAATTATTTTTTTAAACCACATAATTTAGTTAAAAAGATCTTTTAATAAGGGTTGGAGGGAGTATTTAAAACTTCTTATTTTTAAATCGTTGAAGCTCCTACTCTTTCTTAGTGTCGTGACTTAGGTTTTTATTTGGAGCTCCATCAACTCATCTCTACCATCACCCCTTTCCTCTACTTCTTTCTTCGTCACCACTTGGCTTCACTCTATGTTCTTGCATTCTTTTAATACAATCTCTAGTTTTTCTGATGCTTGCTTGGTGTTGATCTTGAAAGTGTGAGGGAGGCGATTTCAAAGAGCGTGGAGCCCTAGGGTACAACACTAAAAAGAAGGGATAAGCCTAGGTGATGTTGTCATTAACATCTCAGGTTTCTATTCTCCTCAATTTTTTATCTTTGATTCAGTCTTTTGTCTCATGCTAGAGTTTATTGAGGGGTTTTAATCTCTCTTGTTTTGCCCCTTGCCATGGTGAAACTTGGGCAACACTGTCACTCACCGTAATCAAGTAATATCCCAACTGACAAAGTGATTCACTACACAAATTCCCTTTCCTTTCCCATTTTTGTTTTGAACCTGTGAGCCCTAGCAAAGTGATTCACTCACATCCTTCTTCCACTTTTCTTCTTTAAGCTTGTCACCATCATAGTCACGCTCGGAGTTGGAGCTCAAATTTAGCGTGTTAAAAAATGAAATAGTTGCAGTCTCACTTCTTTTGGTAAGTGTTTCGCGTCCCTTCTTCGAGTAATGGGATTTTCTTTGAATTTTATACCACTGTGGACTTTGGTTTTGAATAAGATTTCAAATAAATAATGGGATTTTCTTTGAATTTTATACCACATACTCTTATTTGTATATACTTTCACTTCTATTGCTTGGTTAATTCCTGTTCAACGCTGTGAAATAATTGCAAAGTTTTAATTTTGGCTATGTATCTCTGGCATATATATATATAAATATATATATATAAAACTATAAAGGGGAAGAAGGAAACCAATGTGTTTCAGAAAGATTAGCTCATGAGTTTGAGTGACTTTTTTTAGGTGAAAATTAGAGGAAGAGAATTAAAGGTACATTAATGATGGAAATGGGTCGAATAAAATAAAAACTGGATGATTATTTTGCTTTTTTGACACTTATTTCGATTTGAATGTTAATCTCTTCTTCGTCTGCTCCTTCATCTTCTACATAACTCTGTTTCCCACATAGTGAGCAATGACAAAGAAATTGGTTTATAATTTGGATACATTAATTAATAGGTAATCAAAATAATTAAGTATCAATATGCTGATAACTCGTGTCAGCAAATTTTTGCTCATTAAATTTTTTCTGGATTCGAATTCAAGTTTTGAATGTTTTGTTACATCTTTACTCTGTTATAAGGCCTTCTGTTGATAAATAGTTTGTTGGATGTATATTTGCTGATCAGTTTGCGTTTTTTGGGGATTTAGATTCAATTTTTGAATGTTCTTTTGCTTTTGCATTTCAATATGAGAATCTACGTTCCCAAGCTAGCCAAATGCACATGTTTACACATTGTTAATCAAGATCTTGCATCATCATTGAGGGTTTCAGATGCTCTTCGGGTGATTAAATATATGAGTAAATCATCTCTATGTCCTGCTTTGGTACCTCATACCCCCTCCGTCCCTTGTTATAAGATCATTTTAACTAAATTATGCAGTTTAAAAAAGTAGTTAAAATTACAAACAATTAATATGTAGCAAATACAATTTTTTCCCCCAAATATACATTAAATTAGGGGTAAATGTGAGGAGTAATAATGAGATAAATGAAGAAAAAAAATGTATTAAATACATTAAATTAGGGATAAAATAAGTAATAATGCATTAAATGCTCATATAAAGTCAAAGAGGATCTTATAAAAATGAACAAACCCATTTAAAAAATTGGACCTTATAATAAGGGACAGAGTAGTAGATTGTACCATCCTAATTTATGAACTTAACTTAGACACCAGCTCCAACTTCATTTATGTTTCCAAAATTATATTTAATTATTTAATTATGGCTTTATTATTATTATAAATGCTTTTAATATTATTGTCATCACAAGTCTGTCGATAATTTTGCATGTTGTCTTGTTATCCTCTCATACTTTAGTTTCTCTTCTAGTAATTATTCTTTCTTTTATTTGAAAATTTATTTCAAAAATTAATTGAACTTCACGAGTGCTTGAATGGATTCTGCTCAAGGAATTATGTGGCTTGTGCACCAGTTCTAACTGCAGGCTTTACTATGTTTATACTTTTTATTCAAGTCTATTATTGTTGTGTATAACAGGAAATTTGACTCGGTAAACTTCTTGTCATACTTCCTTTCTCATGCATCTATTTTGCCTCTTTTAGGTAGTTTGAGGCAGCAAAAAGCCAGATATCTTCGAGCATCATCGAACGCTTTTTTGTTGAATATTGCAACTATACCTGAATATGTGAAGAGTGGAGCTTGGACTATGGTCCTTGAACAAAGAACCAATTATTTTTAGGAATTTTTTATTAATAGAACTTCTATTAGCATTCAAAAAAATTTATAAGACAATGTTAGCTAATGCTCAAGTTATTCATTTTTGTTAAATTTTATGTTTATCTTTAATGTATTGGATTTTGTATTCTATAAATATAATTTTTTATTTAAGATTATTTTCTTGTTATTATTCTATAATTATATTGCATATCATAATAAATATTAACAATTAAAAAATAAATAGAAACAAATAATAAAAAATAACTATAAAATAAAAGGGGCATTCATTTGACACTTTTTTAGCCTTATTTGACTGTTATGAAGAAAGAACTGTCAAATAAGGTTCAATTACTAAGAAGCATCAAATAAGATAATTTTATTTAACAATTATTAAGAAAAAACTTTCAAATAAGATCAATTTATTTGAAGGTTATTAAAGAAGATTTGTCAAATATTCTTGAAATATTTGACAGTTGAGAACCATCCAATATGCTGTCAAATGACGGGTCCTTACTTGATAGTTCAAAACCGTCAAATATAAGCAAAAATAACTGTCAAATATTAGTAATTATGTGGTAGTGGGATATTTAAAAAATTAATTAAGTTAGTTATTTGTAGTAAATATATATTATCTTTTTTAAAATAATTATTAATCATATATATTATAACCACTCTTTGATGAAATTTTTAATATGTACAACTATCATAGGAACTACTTTTAGGAAAAAAAATAGATAAATATTATAGACAAAATGAATTGTGATTTGATATTTATGACTAATTTGAAAATCTAATTAGCTTTTACATTAACAAATTAGAGATAATAATATCATATGATGATGCTGTGAAAATTAATAAGGCTTATCAAAGTCAAAATTACTTTTCTGCGTACACTTGGATATTGTAAAGTACTTGCTCTAGTTCTTATTATATGGTATTTTTATTATTTTCACCTATCTTATAGAAAAGTTGTTATATGTTAAATTGTCAAAAAAAAAAATGAAAATCTAAAGATTCCATTTCTATGCCTAATAATAAAAGAGATGTAAAATTCAAATCATAAAACTTCCACTTACAATATACAATATTATCATAATTAGGGGAAAAAGAAAAATCATTGGATACTTTACATAACACTTAATAATTTGGACCATAAAAGAGTTATAAAAAAAAAAGACACCTTATAAATGAAGGACTAGATGAGAGAGTATTTCAAAGGTGTAAATTGGAGAACAAGGGACAAAGTAGTGATCCAACATTTGTATATGTGGGTCCCGCATGATAGTGGCTTGACCATTGCTGAAATACAATCTCAAGCCTTGTGGGAAATCAAGCTTGACCCATACAAATGTCATGCACACATTGATCATTAC